GCCTGGCTATTGCTATTAGTTTTTAGTGTTTTGTTTCAATACAAGTTTTTATTTTGTGGCCCAACTAGGTTTGAACTCGCTATGTAGCCCAGGCTAGCCTAACTGATCCTCCTGCCTCAGTCTCCCTAGTGGTAGGAATTACAGACCTGAGCTACCATGCCCTAGCTAGGTATTTATTTCCTTGTCCTCCTCTTCCTTTTTTTTTTTTTTTTTAATTGAAAATAGTTTTTCCCCCCATGCTTGTTTGTTTGTTTTCAAGACAGGGTTTCTCTGTGTAACAAGCCCTGGCTGTCTTGGAACTAGCTTTGTAGACCAGGCTGGCTTTGAACTCTCAGAGAACTGCCTGCCTCTGCCTCCTGAGTGCTGGGACTAAAGGTGTGTGTCACCACGATCTGGCCATACCATATATTCTGATTATGGTTTCCCTTCCCCTGTCCTCCATTTTTTTTTCAAGATAGGGTAAAGATGCTTTCTGCCTAATGACATGACTTCTGTCTGCCCTCAGAACCCTCGCACGGGACAGAAGGGGAGAACTGACTCCCACAGATTGCCCTTGAGCACCATGTACTCGCTGTGGCTCACATGCAAGTACACACACACACACAATAAAGAAATGTGAAAAAAAAAAGCCATGATTATTTTATTAACAATATAAAGATGGCTCCTCATTTTAGTTTTAATTCTAAGATTCCAAAGAGTGGGATTACTGGCATATAGCACCACACAAGGCCATAATCTTCAGGCATCCAGAGTCGGCATAACCAAAAGAACACAAATCTCCCCCAAGGGCAGGTGATTTCAAACAACGGCCAAGGTGGTGGCAAGTCAGGTAGCTGCAGCCTGGGCTCAGGGGAGAGGGCCTGAGTGGTGTGCCGCTCGCAAGAAATGCGGCTATCTCACTTCTGCCTCTTTCCACTCCCCGCTGTCTCTTGAGGCTCTTGGAATGGACCCCAGGTCCTTGTGCATGCTGGGAAACGCTGCAGCTTCCTACACCCTGGCAATGCCCCTGTGTATCTCAGGTTCTTTTAGCCTGGGCTGATGGCCATCTCCATTTGGCAGCCTGCCCCCTGAGTGCTCTATACTTCATGCTTGACCGAGAACCAGCAGTGTGCGCGTCGGTTACCGTTGAGGACTGATCTGCCCCCACTGTCAACCTGTGGGGCTGATGGACAGCTTGGAGTTGGGGAAGCAAGCATTGATCTGGGCAGCAATTCCACACCACTGTGTCTGTATCATCCTAGAAACCAAAGTGGCAAAGATCCTTAGTGATGTCTGCACCAGTGTCCCATCATAGGACTCAGATGTCTTCTACTGGCAATGGAGAAGTGGGCCAGAACTTCACCTCAGTTTGGCAGATCCACATCTGCTTCTGGAGCTATAGAATGGAGGTCTCCTTGCCAGACCTCAGTTCTCAGGCCTGGGCTTCTGGTTGGCTCCATGTCCTCTTCTGACATGTACTTCTCTGCCATCCCAGACGGGGCAATGCCTGGGGCTCGTCCCCATTCTAGTGGACCTGCCTCTGTTCCCAGGTCCTTCCCGGAGTCACTCTCATGGCTGCACTCTCTGTGAGTTCTCTGTGTGATGAGCAGAAAGTAGATGACAAGATGCAGAAAAACAGAACAAGAATGAAAACTTCTAATTAAGAGAAAAGGAGGGAGACAGGAGTCTGACCTGGTGGAGATGGCAGCCCAGTTTGGTAGTAGAATGTGTTGTCTCCAAACATCCGTCTACAAAATCCTTGCAGTCATGAAGAAAAAAGTTATGCATTCTAAATGGTGTG